AAAGGATACCCGCTCACCAGCTGGGGAAGAGGTCCCTTCTGAGGGCACATTCCCCTTATCCTCAGCACGGTGCCCTGTTTCTCCTTGACCCTCATGCTCCCTGACAGCGGCAGGGCTGCCAGATCCAGAGTGGGACATATCTAACAAATCCCTGAGAGTCTTTTCTGTGCGCCTAAACTGTCTGCTTCTCCAGGTCAGCCACCTTGGCCTCAAGGGAGCACACACGTTCCCTGAGAACCAGGAGCTCCTTGCACCGAGCACACACCCAAGACTTCTGTTCAGTGGGCAGATAGTCATACATGTGACACTCTGCACAAAACACTGGATAGCCTCCAACCCCCTGCTGGCATTCTGGCTTCATAATTCTTTTAAAATAAGTAAATATGATCCCCCTTTTAAAACCCTTTATATTTATGTGGTTTTTCTTGTCGAAGTCAACTTACCTTTCGGGGAAGACAAAGAGCCTAGGGCCTTGGCTTTCTGGCTCTTCTTGGGCTTCTTACAGAGTCCCTAGTCTAAGAGTCCCTAGGCTAAGAGCCACAGGCAAAGAGCCCTTTAGCTCGCCCTTCGACTCGTGCTTTCTTAAATACTGAATTACAGTCAATCACAGTCAAACAATGACCCTTCCTCTCCCTCTCTCAAGCAGCCAGGACTCTGCAACAACTCTAATCACTTTCACACACTCCCAAACACAGTCCTCCCACACAATATCCTCAGCTGAATCGCCTCAGCTGAAAGCAAGTAAAAAAACACTCACCCCTCTAGCAGCTCTTTCTCCTGCTCAGAGCTCAGCTGGGTCTCACTGGCTTCATTCATTTGACATGGACTTGAAGCCAGTGTAATTGTCTGTATTAAGATAAGCCATGCTCTTGATTAACTGCGATGCACATCTAAGTGTTCTCCAGATTCAAAAGTTCAGTCTACAGAGGAGGGCGGCATTTCCGTAAAGGAAGAAAATCGGTTCAGAGCTTTTGAGGCAACCTAGAATACCGGGCCATAAACTGGGTTGCATTTCAGTGTTGTCTTCCTTGTCGTCATAGAGAATCATCATTGTGGGTGTATCTAGGCATGTCTGAAGCAAGTTGGAAGTTGGCTAGAGCATTGTGGGTGGGCAAATAAAACAGGACGTGGCCCAGAGCTCATTGCAGGCTTGTGAAGGGATGGCCATGGTGGGACAAAAAGCTTCCTTCTCTGCAGCCATTGACTCAGGTGACTCTCATCCAGCAGAGCGTTATAAAATTGTTCAAGGTCTTCTGGCACCTAAAGTATCTCGGTTAGAGGAGGCTTGGTATGTAGTCTGCTATGACACTTTTTCATCGTTCTGGGTTGATAAAAATTGGATTCAGTTGGACTAATTTGTTCGTACGTCCTGGACTGAGGGTATTGGAAGCATCTGCTTGTTAGACATTTTGGAAAGATTGCCCTGACCAATGGATATAACATCTTTGGGGCAGTGAAAGCCATCACCTGCACAGTCGAGCCTTGCCCCTCTTGATTTGCTCCTTGGACTGGCACAATTGCTAGAGGTGGATTAAAATGTGGAATTTGCTGCCAGAGGTTGTATTGATGGCCACAGGAATAAACAGCTTTAAACAGTCTAGTGGCACCTTTAAGACCAACAAATTTTCTAAAGAAGTGCACATGCACACAAAAGCTTATACCCAGAGTTAAACTTTGTTGATCTTAAAGGTGCCACTGGACTCAAATGTCATTCTGAGTGCAATTAGGTGTGGGATAAATGAGTTTCTGAAATAAATATAAGGAAAAGGGTCAGTGGCCATTGGAAGTAAAGGATGGTTTTCATGAAGACTTCATTCAGTTGTCACAGTTGTGGTTTAGCTCCTCCTTCATTGGTGTGCAAAAGTTCAGGTAATTTTGAAGCCATGGGGGGGGAACAGGTTTTTTCCAGGGGGGAAAAAAAGATATTTGGGAAATTTTTATTAATTAAAATATTTATATCTTGCCTTTCCCCATGGCTCAGGGCGGCTAAAAATCACAAGGTAAAACATGCAAAAGAAGTAACCTCCCTCGACCCAAAAGCTGCCTACAGTCTGTTTCCCATTAAAAGTCCTGGCCAATAAAAATGGCCTTGCAGCAGCCCCTGAAATTTCTAAAGGTGGAGCTCTCTTTGTTTTCTCGGGGAGCCCCCAAGAGAGGGCAGCTGTGGGCAATGCATGGGCTCTGGCTGGTGGCAGGTGGGCTACCTGAAGTGGAAGGAAGTCAGTAGGTGGCCACTGCCACAGATCCACCTTAGCTGTCAGCATCTTCATCTGCCCTGTTGTACTCTGTCTGTGTGTGTGGGGTTTATCCTTGCATGTGAAGTTGGCTGAGAACCAAGGGGGTTTAGTATTTAAAACCTTACTTCCCCCCCCCCCCTTACGGGAACACGGAACACCTCCTCCACCCTGATTTTAGGATCTCCCCCCCCCCCATGAGGTGCCACCAGCAAAAGGAATTCCTTTGATCTTGGCCCCTTTGCAAGCTGGAAATCTGTTTGTAGGTGTGTTGTGGGTGTGTTTTGTGAGAGTGTGAGGAAGAGGCGTTGTCAGTCAGTCTTTATTATGGCCCACAAGCCACGCGGAGGCAGAACAAAAAAAAAACATTAATGAATCAACCTAGAATTGTATCTCAACAGATATAATTCAATCCTGATACGTCATCCACTGCAAAAGTTTAGGGAGGAGGCTTTGTGCTGCCTCCCCACTTGTCTCTCTCTGCCAGTGCTGTCCTGCTCAGCACTGGTAGAGCTAGAAGGTAAGTGGGAATAACGTAAGACACTTAGGAAAGAATCAGAAGGGAAATTGCTAGCTAATCTTCTCAATCTTGCTCAATGGCTAGCTAATCCTCTGCATTTCCCCTCATGGGAACGGGTCCAGAACGAAGCATCTTGCCACAGCATCTTGCCACAGAGTCTTGGTATAACTTCCATGTGATCTAACACAATTAGGAACATTCTGTAGCTTGGGAACCATCCAGAATTTAGGGTGCAGGCTCAAGAGTCTCCATCCGAGATGATTGCTGATATCTACATCCAATGAGTTTTGCCTGCCAAAGAGGAAAAAAGCAATAATCAATCAAGATTCCTGGACAGCTTAGACAAATAGTTAAATTGAGGCTGGGATTCAATTTCCCGCATCAGTCGGTCTTCATCTACCTGTCCCGCCTTTCCTGGAATGTAACTTTTAAGTTTTACTTGCCTGATTCCAGCAGATAAGTATTATTCTAAAAGCACATTTATTCTTTCCTAATGCCATCTAGAGGGCTGTCGTTCACATGCAGGCCTCATGGGTTGCCCAATTCTCCCCCCACTCCACGTGGCTTTTGGAAAGGCAGATCCCATGATCCTCGGCATAGCTGTTTTTGTGGGCAAAGGGGACCGACCCCTCCTTCCTTTCTCACCAGCAAAAAAAGTCTGCCTGGATCCAACCCCCCACTGTCTGTTAATATTTATGAAGTTTAAAACTGTGAATGCCTTTGTTGTCTACCAGCAAAATTACAAATACCCCCAAATCCTAAAGAAAGCTACGAAGTGCCGCATCCTGTGGTATCGTAACACTTTTTGCCCTCTGAAAAGGAGAAAAGAGAAAACACAGGTTTTGTAGTAAACAAAAGGTCCTGTAGGCACCCTATGAGAGTAGCAGCATATCTCAGTATTGAGTTAAGCGTCGTAACATTGAAAATGTGAAACTCGGCATTAGAGAATTATCATAGCAGATTAACTGTGGGCAAGTGTAAATTATATTTAAATGACAAATGTATCTTTGAAAATGGGCTATATACATTTATGTTTCCAGAGGAAAAATTGGTGTGTGGGGGATCCTGAGAGGGAAAAGGTTTCCTCCTGTTTTTTCCCCCCGTCACCCTTCACATCACTGGTGGGAGCAGAACTGAAGCCACCAAGGCTTGGAGGAGTTATCAGTCGGATTGAGAATTCTCTTCTCCTTTCTAAAATGAGAGAAGGGGGAGTGTTCGCTTTCTAAATCTCAGTCCCCAGAAAGCATTTATAATGTGGGGAGAGTTTACAGTACTTTTTGAGTAAGTCTTCCAGAAGTAACTAATGCTCTTTCTTTTGAACAAAGCCCAGTGATACTTCGTTAATGGTGATGCGTGTTAACCTACTGTTGCTAAAAATGTTGTGTGTGTATTTATGTACTTTGACATGAAGTATTTGATACAGTTCTCTTTTTTTAAAAAAAAAAACACTAGCTGGCTTCCAGAAGCTCAGGTTATCCAGAAGGCTCTGAATTCAGCTGCCAATAACGTCTATCAATACGGTCGAGAATGGATAACGCACAAGGTACGGTTATGATAATCCAGTATTGATAATCCTACTGCATATTGAATGTTCTTGGGGAGTATCAGTACAGGAGGAAACGAAAGCTGTCTTTCATGGCTCAAAGAATTGGTGGCTAACAGTTTGAAGGCATTCTGCAGCTCTCAGATAGAATAGAAAGTTGCAGTGATTTTTAGTGGTGTCAGTTTATGGCCTGGATTTATTTTATTTTCAGATGATTTCCCCTTAAATGGCATTCTTAGCAACGTAGGTAGCCATGTCTGTTGCAGCAAAAAAAAACAGGAGTCTGATGGTACCTTGAAGACTGACAAGATTTTATTCTAGAATAGGCTTTTCTGCACTCGGGTCCATTTTGTCAGAGGCGTGTAGTGGATCCTCACTGGGCAGACATATATGTATCAGGATATTGTCAGGTAGCCCTGTCATGGATCTGGAATGTGGAGGGGTGCCCTCCTCCTCCTTGTTCTCAGCTCTTCCCTGTCCCGCTACTGTGTGCTCTCTCAGGCTTGACCTTGTAGTCTCCAGCTGCATTTTACTCGACTGGGAAAGCAACAGCTTTTTGCTTTGCCCGCTTCCTCGCTTGCTTTCGCCCGCCCGCATGAATTATAATAATTGGCTTCTGCTCATTGGGGGTGTGTGTTTGATTTCACTATAAGTCAGAGGCCCTTATACTGACGGCTATTCCTGACACAAGCTGTACACGTGTTCTTTAGTACTGGAACCACTAATAACCAGTTATCTTCTTCTGAAGCCCTGTGTGGTGTGACCTGCCTAGGGAGCCTGACAGATATGAAGGAAAAAAAGGTTGCAAGGATCAGGTTCAAAGGGCATGGAATACAGGCAGTACATGGTCCAATGGACCAGTAAAATTCACACGTAACGAAGAAAAGAACAGAGATAGTGCAATGGTATTCATTGGTGTTAACATGATTTTCCTAGTTTATGTCTATAATGATGCAAGTATTCCATTGTAATGTCCAATGCTAAATGTCCAGTTTAGCAGCTGGCCTGTTCTGTGTAAAGAGAAGATGACATTTTTGGTGGTATATTTTGCAGAGGAGGGACCAGACAGTAGGTGATGTGAAAGACCTCCACCTGAGACCCAGGAGAGCCACTGCTAGTCTGAGTAGACAGTGCATTCAGCTGTGAATCCTTGTCCAAGGAACTGGAGCATATGTGATGTACTCAAGGTCGTAGCTAGAAGCACATAGGTGTATAGAAGATGTGCACAGATCACACCTTTAATGGGCTGGTGTGAGGGACAACCAAAGTAATCATTCTGATCATAGATCTGTATGCCACTCACTTGCTGAATCCTGAGGCAATTTCTCTTCCATCAGTGCCTAAATGTTACCTCATAGCATTAGGCTTTGTGCTCAGGCAATGTGGATACATGCCAGTTTTCCACAATAAGGCAAGGCAAAGGGGCTTGCTTGCCAAACACAGACCATCGTGAAGGCTCAGACAATGAGGCTAAAGAAACTTCAGAACCCTTCTCTAAAGAAATGCCTTCACTTGCTCTTGATCATGCTGTAGAAGAAGAAGAGAAGAGATTGGATTTATACCCCGCCCTTCACTACCCAAAGGAATCTCAGAGCAACTTACAAACATCCTTCCCTTCCCGTCTCCACAGCAGACACCCTGTGAGGTGGGTGGGGCTGAGAGAGCTCTGACAGAAACTGCTTTTTTTCAAGAACAGCTGTGCCAGGCTTGCCCAAGGTCATCCAGCAGGTGCAAGTGGAGGAGTGGGGAATCAAACCCGGTTCTCCCAGATCAGAGTCAGCACACTTAACCACTACACCAAACTGGCCATGCCACCGCTTGATCAAAGTTCCTGGTTCCAGTGGGTAACATAACTGCCTGCACCTGCCATAATTAGGCCTTAGACAAAAGGTCTGTGATTCTGTGGCATTTCCCTGGCTAGCAGGATAGCAGGTGGGGCTGAGTTCAAAGAGCTTTGGATCTCAACAGTTTCTGCTTATAAAGGGAAATGGGGCAGGAGAAGAGGTAAGGTGCCAGAAGATTGGAGGCGGGCAAATGTCGCCATCTTCAAGAAGGGGAAAAAGGAGGATCTAGGTAACTAATGACCTACCAGCTTGACATCTATACCTGGAAAAGTTTTAGAACAAACCATCAAACAGTCCTTGAGCATTTAGAAAAGACGGCTGTGATTACTAAGAGCCAGCATGGGTTTCTCAAGAACAACTCATGTCAGACTAACCTTATCTCTTTTTTTGAGAAAGTTACTATCTTGCTAAATCAGGGAATAGCTGTAAACATAGTTTATCTTAATTTCAGTAAGCTGTTGGTAAGGTTCCACATAATATTCTTTTTTTTCCCAATTAAGTTTTTTATTAATTTCAAACTCTTACAAGTTATTTAAAAGTTGTTCTACAACAAAAAGTAAATTTAACATTCTTTGATAGTAGTCTTCCACAAATTGCCAATCCTATTCTGTTTCTACTTCATTGATAAATTATAATCTTTAATTAATCCCGTAGAATTGGCACGCCTAGGTTAATATTTCTGCCTCTCAAAATTGCTCCAGTACAGTTGCACTTGTAAACACTATCTCCCATAATTTCCCTTTAAATCTCCTTATTTTATAACCATGTGTTCTATATATATTTTATTTCTAAATCATTATAATAAGATGAGTTACAATAAAGTAAAATAAAAAGTAAGCTACAAACTGAAAATATATCTCTCCATTTCTTAGTTCTGCTCTCTTAGATCTTACTACATTCTGTTCTTCCTCTTCAAACTGGAGCTCTTCTAATTGGCATTCCCTCATCTGGGACTCCGGAGCAATTCCGGAGAAGACTCTCGCTGGAGTCTTGCCCATTGGGGGGGGGGTTTCCCAATAGCCCTGCCCTCGTGCTCCCCTACACTTTATGTTCCAGGCTGCTTTGCTTAGGGGGAAATATATGGCAAAAAGGGGAAAGGGAGAGAGAGAAGAGAAAAACAAAATAATAACTCTATAGCTGCAATCTCCTCCAGTGCATGTCTTTACAATCTTCTGGTGCATTCATCTTCTTTTGCTTGTCAGTTCTTGGACTTCTAGCCTGAGTCCGATTCCAATGCCTTCAGAAGCTCTTCGCCGGATATTAAGTCATTTATATTTAGGAGTCATTTATATTTATTTATTTACTCACTTCATTTGTGGATCCCGCCTTTCTCCCCAGTGGGGACCCAAAGCAGCGTACTTTGGTCTCCTCTCAGCCTTCCTCACAAGGTTGTTGTGGGGGTAAACTGGAGGAAAGAAGGACGAGGTAGGCTGCTTTCGGTCCCCGTTGGGGAGAAAGGCAGGGATATAAATGAAGAAAAATACCTTTTTTACTTTTTAGAAGTTTTGTTCCTGGATTTTGAGTTTCTCCCCCTCCTTGTTGTGTTTTCTGTTTTTTTTTTAAAGACATACATTTTTTAACATTTAAAAATGAAGTAAGTAAATAAATGAATGGCTTCTCATTTTGGGCCTAAGTTTCCCATGGCTTCTGCATGGTTTAGTTGAAAGCAAAATGTGTATAGGAAAAGCTGTGGGGCCCACTGCTCCGCATGGGACTGTCTCCCAGCCAGCAGTGATAGCAGATCACAGTACTTCAGGGGTTAAGGGCGAAAGAGAATTATTAATCACTCCCCAGAAGGTTAAGCAAGCCAGCTCACCGAAAATGTAGGTTTCCCCAGGTATTTGAATATTGCCTGCAGGAAGAGAGGTGAAGAACATGAGTGAAGTAACTTCTGTATCCACCCAAGATGGCCTTTTCCATACTCAGCAACCACAGATCTTCGACATGGTCTCTGTGCTTTCACACCCATGGGATCTAGTGCGCACGCGCTGGATCGATCAGCATTGTAGCAAGCGCTTTAACGGATTTTCGTGCCCAGACCTTGGGCATGCACAGGAACCCCACCGTGCATGCCCAGAGGGGAGGGCGCGGACATCCCGCCAGTTTCTTTCTTACCGCCACGTTGGAAATACCTCTTTCTCGTCAGTCTGATCGGTTCGCTTTTTTGGCTATTTGCCTCACGGCTCTTCAGATTTTTCCTCACTTTATTCTCTTTTCTTTAGTACTTCTTCATTTGTTCTTTCAAAAAACTAAAAAAAAAAAGATTTATTTTCAGCTGAGGGGAAAGTTGCCGGTTTACCTCAGTGTGGCCTTCGGGACCCACCCCTTCTTTCTTCTTCGCTGTTTATTTTTATGGAGAAGAAGTGAGGCTTTTTTAACCAGTGCAAGGGTTGCAGCAGTAAACTTGCTCCACCTGACCGTCATACCCTCTGTATTTTTTGTCTGGGAGAGTCTCATCGACCTGAGTCCTGTTGCCACTGTGCTCGCTTTTCAAACCAGACAAGAAAAAATCGAGCTGCGCACCTTAAAGTGGCGCTCCTTGAGTCGGCTTTACATCCTCCCACAATGATGGAGTCCGAGAGGCCTTCAACACTGATGGCTCCAGCATCGAGGCCCTTTTCCGATATTGGTCAACCGACATCGAAACCACCGACATTGAAGGTGAAAAAGAAGGCCAAACCAAGTAAGGAGCACAAGTCCGCAAAGAAGGGCTCCTCTAAGTCCCTTAAGGTGGCAAAGAAGGGGAAGGTAGCAGTGTCTGCACTGGGTGATGCCCCTAAAGTGCCTCCCGCTCCAACAGCAGTATTGATACCGGAGGCCCAAGCCCCTCGACTGATACCGACCATTCATCTCTTGGACTCCCCTATACACCAACTGGAGCGTCCTTACTCCGATATCGAGACGGTAGAGCTCCTAAGTCATCAGATGGATGCAGAGCCTGCTCCCTCTCCATCCCCATCGTCGACATCGACGGTATCGGAGGCTCCCGGCATCAGTTCACGTCGGAATCGACATGCTTGCAGGGTCGCCCTCCACGTTTGCATATTCAATCTGTCGATATCGACGACCGAGATTACAGGGACTGCTCTCAAAGACAGGCTGCCGCTTTGTCCCCGAGACGTCCAAGGTCCAGATGTCGATCCCCCTGAGTCTTTCTACCCCCCCCACACCTCTGTCTTGGGATCACAGTTCCAAAGCGGGATGGAGGCATTCAACCCATATTAGATCTAAGGGCACTGAACTGTTTTGTGACCTACCACCGCTTCCGCATGGTGTCCCTGCAACAGATTATGACGCTTCTTCAGAAACACGTCTGTATGGCCACCCTCAACCTCCAAGACGCGTACTTCCACCTCACCATCCACCCCTCCTACCGCCAATACCTGTGCTTCGCAATTGGTCGACAGCATTACCAGTATGCAGCCCTTCCATTCGGCCTCTCAAGCGCCCCAAGAGTCTTCACAAAGACTATGATTGTCGTTGCAGCTTTCCTCCGTCTCAGGGGTATTTCCATCTACCCCTGTATCAACGATTGGCTTTTGGTCGCACCTTCCGAGAATGCACTGATCTCAAACATCAGCGAGACACTGGCACTCTTAGAAAATCTGGGCCTACAGGTCAATTGGGAAAAGTCTCAATTATGTCCAGTCCAAAGAATGCAATACATTGGTGCTATATTGGATTCCAAGACATGCATGGCTTACCTGCCTCAGGACAGAGCGGCAGACATAATTTCTTTAGCCACCGTCATATATACCCAACCTTCTGTCACTGCCTTCCAAATTCAGAGGCTTCTCGGCCTTATGGCTGCAACTACGTCGGTTCTCGTCTTTGCCAGACTAAAAATGTGTTGTCTACAACTGTGGTTTATCCGCAAGTATGTCCCAACGAAAAACACACATACCATCGTCCTAACCCCTTCTCCCAACATACGAGACTCGTTACTTTGGTGAACTGTCCCTTCCAATATCTTCCAGGGAGCACCTTTCCATCTTCCATCACCCCAAATCACCCTGACCATGGATGCTTCCCTGTCGGGCTGGGGTGGACACATGATGGGCATGTGTGTCAGAGGCAAGTGGAACACCCACAAACAAGGTCGGCACATAAACTTCCTGGAACTGCTTGCAATACAGTTCGCTGTCAAGAGTTTCTTACCACTGATCAATGGGAAATGTGTTACGGTCCTCACGGACAACACCACTGCACTCACTTATGTCAACAAGCAAGGAGGCACGGTCTCCCTATGTCTCTGCAACCTTGCCATCCAGTTATGGGACTTTTGCATCACCCACTACATCTTCTTGATAGCCACGCACACCCCAGGCCACATGAATGTGCAGGCAGACCATCTAAGTCAAGCAGGGCTCAGTCTCCACGAGTGGGAAATGATCCCGACCTACCTCCTCCCACTCTTCCGCAGGTGGGGAGCTCCCCAAGTCGATGTTTTTGCCACCAGAGCCAACAAAAAGTGCCCTCTGTTTTGCAGCCGAGGAGGCAGGGACTCACATTCTCTAGGAGACGGTCTCCTTTATCCTTGGTCCAAGAACCTCCTTTACCTGTTCCCTCCCTTACCCCTGCTTCTGAGAGTAGTCCGCAAAATCGTCAGAGACGGTGCGGACTGCATATTGATAACCCCATGGTGACTGAGGCAACCATAGTTCTCGACCATCCTCGAATTGTCAACAGGGATATACCACCAATTCCCTCTGGCACAGGACCTCCTCTTCCTGTCCGACTCCCCTGTCCTACATCACAACGTGCCACGCTTGAAATTGACAGCGTGGAGAATAACGTCAACGGTTTTTCCACCCGCGTAGCAAACGTTCTACTGAATGCCAGGAAACCTCCTACGCGAAGGTCCTACCATTATAAATGGCAAAGATTCTGTTCTTCCCTAGGTGATGATGCCCCTCGAGCCACCTCCGCAGGTCTCGAGAAAGTTTTCCCATTTCTCCTATCCCTCGCTGATGCGGGACTTTCCCACTCATCGTTAAGCGTTTATTTGGCCGCCCTTTCGGCCTACCATGTTCAAGTTGACGGATGCACTGTTTTCCCATCCGCTTTCAAAACGTTTTTTAAAAGGTTTATTGCATCTCTACCCTCCTGTCAAAACTCCTGTTCCCTGGGACCTTCCTCTAGTTCTTCGCCAGCTCACGAGGAAACCCATTGAGCCACTCGCAACTTGCGATATGAAATGTCTGTCGTGGAAGACGGCCTTTCTGGTTGCTGTCACCTCTGCAAGGCGAGTAGGAGAAATACTGGCTTTCAGGCATGACACGCCATACTTGTCCTTTTTGCCAGACGGCGTACGCCTCGTACCTGACATCTCGTTCCTGCCAAAGGTAGTGTCAGAATTCCACCTACAAGCAGAGCTCTTCCTCTCGGATTTCTTCCCGGCTCATCCTCAGAGGACAGACTGTTACACACCTTATATGTGAAGCGTGCGCTCCTGTTCTATCTGAATAGAACCCGTTCGATGAGACGTGACTCCCAACTATTCGTCTCGTACGCACCATCAAGGCTGGGGACTCCCATCACGGCTCAGCGCCTCTCAAAGTGGATTGCGGGTCTCATCCGCCTCTTTTACCTGATTGCCAAACAGCCATTGCCTGGCCCTATCAGGGCCCATTCAACCCGAGCTGTTGCTGCTTCCACTGCCTTCCTCCAGGGAGTGCCCCTGACGGACATTTGCAAAGCCGCTACGTGGGCCACGCCTAACACCTTCATCAGGCACTACGCCCTAGTAGGGGTGTGCAAAAAAAATAAAATTCGGTAAAATTCGGATTCGGGTTTATTGGACCCGAATTTTTTCGGGAAACCCGAAAAAACCGAATATCTATATCGGTAAAGCATAGATATCCGAAAATTTTCGGAAAACCCGAAAAATTCGGGTCCATTATAACCAATGGGGCCATTGAAGTCAATGGCAAAAATCCTCTTGAAACTTTGCTGGGGGCTGGGGGGGAGGGGGTTTGGGGTAGAGGCTCCAAACTTGGAGGGTGCTTACTGGAACCTCTCCCCATCATACTCACCAAGTTTCAAGAGGATTGGACCAGGGGGTCCAATTTTATGGGCCCCCAAGCAGGTGCCCCCGAGATCAGCTTGCTGCAGTGTTTATTGCCGGTTTGCAATATGATGGCTGTTCTGGGTCCCCTCTTCCCCCCTCCCTCCTGAAAACAGGAGCTAGAGGCGGGAAAGGGGGAAACGGCGGGGAAACGGGGTTTCCCGGCCGCCTTTTAAAGTTTAAAGAGCAAAAAGCCGTTTTTTGGCAATGCCAAAAAATGCCGAAAAAATCCCGAATTTTTTCAGGATTTTTTTTGGCTTTCGGACAAGCGCTCAGATTGCCATTTCGGGATCCCGAAAGCCGAAAAAACCCGAAAAGCAATTTTTTCAGGGTTTTTTTTCGATTCGGGATTCCGAAATGCACATCCCTACGCCCTAGACGTCCGCAAAAACTCTAATACCAACATGGGACGTCGCATTCTATCTTCAGCTACACAGTAAGGACCTGCCAGCACCCTCCTCCAAGTAGGCCACTGCTCGCTAATCTCCCATGAGTGAGAAGCACAGAGACCACGTCGAAGATAAACAGGTTGCTTACCTGTAAGTGGTGATCTTCGAGTGGTCATCTGTGCATTCACACCACCCGCCCTCCTTCCCTGCTGCTGTCAGCTTCTACATTTTCAATAGGGGTTAATTTGCTGCGGTTTGAAGGAACTGGCAGGATGTCCGTGCCCTCCCCTCTGGGCATGCGTGGTGGGGTTCCTGCGCATGCCTGAGGTCTGGGCGCGAAAATCCGCTAAAGAGCTTGCTTCAATGCCGATCGATCCAGCGCGTGCGCACTAGATCCCATGGGTGTGAATGCACAGATGACCACTCGAAGATCACCAGTTACAGGTAAGCAACCTGTTTATCTCTTGCCACGCTGACCACTTCTGACAGCTTCTTTTCAGCTCTCCCTTTTTGTCTTTTTCAGCTCCATAAAATACTAGGAGAAAAAGTGAACAACACAGCTCTGATTGAGAAGCAAGTTTTGGTGCTTTGGGACAGATTGTACCACTCTTGGTTTGTGAAAGTAAGCATTTTGGGCATATTCAAGGGTATTTAGTAATGCTTACATGAATAATAATTAGAGAACCTGCTAGAAATCTGAGTGCTGTCTAGTGGTGTTAGGATATTCCCAACATATTCAAATAGATAGCCGAGGCCTTTATGTTTCCAGTTATCTCGTATCTACATGAGGAATGTGGTGGAGGGACCGACATGCATTCATGGGTGGCTTCACATTTCACCCCATGTATTCAATAGTGCTAAATCTCTGGCCTGTACAGAGACTTTGTAAATGTGAGTCTGGGGAGATGGAAACTATTGAACACATGATGTTTAGATGTAAGTGGTACAATGAGGTTTGAGAGAGATTGATTCAACCTCTTATTGAAGAGATGCCTGGGCAGACAGACTCGGATCGTTTTAATAAACTGTTATCGGATGGAAATCACTCTATTACTAACATTGTGGCTAAATTTTGGGTGGCATGCTGTTGCATTTGAAAAGTACAGCTTAACTTGTAAAACTGCAAATATCTCCTTTTTACTGTGGTTTTTTTTTTTAGTGAATCTGTTATATGTATTCTATATTTTTATATTGTATATTTTGCAATATTTTATTTTGGTGCCCCTTGCCGAAGTGTGTGGATTGCTCTGGCTGGATGCCGTAATAAGATTCCATTCATTCACCCCATGTAAATTTCAGGGAGCAAATCAGGGTCTGAAGAGGCCCAAAGAGTTGTTGTGTCAGGTCCCTGTCATATGGGCTCTTTAATCCAGTGTGGTTTCTGAAGGCAAATTGCCTTTTTTAAAGGTTTCACACACCTGAAGGATGAAGTGCAGCAACAACAACAAAAATCAGAACAAGACAGATTTTGGAAAACCTGGATTAAGGCTTCATTAACTGGCCCAGGCCCTGGTTAGTATTTAGATGGGAGACCACCAAGAAAGTGCAGAGTTGCTGCACAGAGGCAAGCAAGAGCAAACCACTTGCCGGGGTTGCTAGGCAGAGGCAGGCAATGGCCAAACTACTTACCCTAACCTGGATAACGCCAGGCTAAACTGATCTTTTCAGATCTCAGAATCTAAGCAGGATCGGGCCCTGGTTACCGCTTGGATGGGAGACCACCAAGGAAGTCCAGGGTTGCTACACGGAAACAGGCAGTGGCCAGCCCCTTCTGAATATTCCTTGTCTTGAAAAGCCTACAGGGTTGCCATGAGTCTTGACCTGACAGGTCTTTCCACCACCCCCAACTGCAGGAGGACAGCATTTTCCCCTTAAGGCAGGTGAAACTGTTAAAAAACTTTCATTTGCCTTTCAGAAGCCAAACCATGTGAAAGAGCCTCTTTGAAGGAGGCCGAGATCACTACTGCGTATTCATTAGTTTGGGGAGGTGGGTGTCCCTCATGTACTCTTACACCTGTGTTCCTTAAAATTCGGTCTGTGAAATACTCCTTTGTTTGACAGAACACGACACATTCAGGAAGACACAAAGGCCACAAGCCACATGTAGGCCGTCAGAACAGCTGGCCAGTAGAGATGCTGGATTGGCAAGATGTCGCCTCTTTTGTTCATGAGAACATTGAGACGTTTCTTTCGGTATGTAAAACATTTTTATAGTAAAATGGGGGGGGGATGCCTCTCTCTGTAAAATGACAACTGTCTTCGAGTGCAGCAGCACCTGAGAGACCAGCAAGCGTCTCTGGATGTAAGCTTACAAGAGCTCCCTTTGTCTCAAAAGCTTCTATTCTCAAAAATCTTACTGGTTTCGGAGGTGTTACAAGATGCAAATCGAGCTGTTCTACTGCAGACTAATACAGCTACCCTCTGAAAGTAGCGCCATAAAATGACTTCTCCGTTCCCTCACTGAAGCTGCACTTTTCATGTAGGCCTTTGTAGCAGCTTTTCTGTCACACCCTAATGATGTGGTTTTAGGCTAAGACGTTGCCAGGATCCAGCAGTGAGGTGCTTCGTTTTCGGGAACCTTGAGGTGCATTTCATTCTCCAGTCTGCGCACACTGTTGTATATGTTCTGAGCAAAGCCACAGTGTGTCTGTATTTCTGAGACTTGGTATTAGAGAGTCACGGTTGGATCCAGACCAAACTGACAGTTGTCAACGATTTTTTCCCCTTCCCACTGCAGACCCTCCCCATGTCATTCCTCAGGGTCCCCTATTTCCCAGAGCAGCATTTTGTGGTGATCAGGGGACTGTAGTGGGGGGGGGGGAGGGCACGAAAGTGGTGTTCTGACAATTGAAATTTTAGTCTAGATCCAGCCCTCAGCCTGTGTGTTTGGTTTTTCTAGTCGCCCCCCCCCCCCTTTTTTTCCTTTTTGCGTATAATTTGTCCAGTTGAGTCACTCCTCTCTGCCAAAAACATCTGCATGGGGTGAAGTACATGATTTCTAGCAGCACTAGAAACTTTTAATAGTGTTTAGGGATGAGCACAAATTGGTTCACGAATGAAAGTTTGTGAGAACATTTTGGCAGGTTCATGGTTTGCGAAGTGATGTTTGCAAACTAAAGGGCCGTCATGAACTTCTACGAATTTCAAAGCAGTTCATAGTGATTTGTGAAGAGCAGAAAGCAGCTTTTAGTTTAAATGGCTTGGAGCCATTTAACCCTCTGCTTTCTGCTCCGCATGAAAAGTGGAGGGGAGCAGAAAGCAGGGGTCATGAACCAATGCAAACCGGTTTGATTAACAAACCAAGCTCCCGGTTCGTATCAGTTTGTGGTTCGAGCTACAAACCATGAACTGAACCACAAAAACGCGGTGCCCATCCCTAGTGTTTAGACTCCACTAATTCCACACTGAGACTCTTTTCTGCAAATCTCAGCAGGAGCCCTCTTTTAAATAAAACATACCCTGGCTTATTGTGCAGTTTATATCCTACTAGCTTTGTCATGAACCCCCCCCCCCCCCGTCTGAAACACCCACCCCTTTTTGTCATTTTTAAAAAATCTCTGTTCAACTTTGTGTCTGTCTTCTAGCACTGGCTAACTGTTGTGTCCTCCTTGCCTTTTTAAAATCTCAAACCAGTGTTTTAGAACAAGATTGCGCAATTTACTATTACAGCCATTCAGATCCCCTCCAAAGCCCTGGCAGACAGGCAGGCCTTGCAGTGCCTCCTGGAGATCTTCAAGGAGGGCCCCCCCCCCACCTCTTCAGGGAGCCCCTTCCACAGAGCTGGAACCATAATGCGCAACTTAAAGCAGTTTTGTTCTGAAAGCATTTCGCAGTATAGATGAGGCACACAGCTCCACCTGCTCTGAAGTTTAGTCCACTGATAATCAGTGGTACGTGTTGCAGATCCCTCCCAAATAACTTGAGCAAGACTCGAGTCCAGTAGCACCTTTAAAAGGACCTACAAGATTTCCAGGGTGTATGCTTTCGGGAGTCCAGGCTCCCTTCGTCAGGTATCTCACCCCCTGGAAATCTTGTTGGCCTTGCTGTTTTCCTGCAGACCAACACTGCTGCCCACCTAAAACGACACAGATGACTTGTTTCTGTTGGTGTTGAAGAATGCCTATTAGACTTTGTGGTTTTGCGTTTGCCCTGTAATGTTGCTTGAACATATTTTGAAGCAGTTTGCCATCACACCAGAAAAGAATCAGTGTGACTTTCCAGATATGCCATACTCTGCTGCCAGTGCTGATGCTACCAAGAACGGGAAGTCATTCTCCTCCTTATAAGGAATGCATTTTGCACTCCTTAAGCACTGTGTGTTGGAATCACTTGTGTGTGTGAAAAGTTTTGCCAAGCTGCTGTCTTTCGGCATCCCACTTTGTTCTCTTCCAGATCCTGGAATCCCTGTGGATAGTGATGAGTCACAACGTGGGCCTCCTTTTTACCACCGTTACAACTTTAGTAACTGTCCTCTTCTACAGCGGCACTGCCCTTCTCAATTTTGTGCTTTCGCTGGTAAGCACGGTTCTTTTACATTGTTTACACTGTACAGTTCTGTCAAGCGTAATCTTTTCTGGAGTATGACTGTGGGCTCGGTCGGGAACATTTTCCTTTTCAGTAGGAGTTCTGTGCTTAAGCTGCATTGTCCCAGCCTCCATAAACCCAGTAATCGGTGGGTGAGCGCGCTGCCCCATACTGTGTGTCCGGCACAGAGATGCTCTTTCTGCTGGGCTTTTGCGGCCTCTGCCACTGTTAGATCCAAGAGATTCTCCTCATCTGAAACAGAGAGCGACATTCTCACACACACACACACACACCCCTTGCTCCTCCTTGGACCTCACAAGAAGGAAAGCCTGTCTGCGAACCCGTTGGCCAATGCAGCTAGGACAGGGGGGGCCCCAACCTTTTTGAGCCTGTGGTCACTTTTGGAATTCTGACACGGGGTGGTGAGCACAGCCACAAAATGGCCCCTTTTGGAGCAGAGCCAACCACTGACACACAGAGGATGCCCAAGTGCAGGGGGCAAAGAGGAGTAAATTTAAAAAGCTCGCTGGGAAAGAGGAGTTAAGAGAGAGAAAACAACTCTGTCATGGCAGCTGTTGCTAAAATGTCATTTTAATCTGCACAGCCAATCAGAAGCCCCATTGGGAAAAAGCCCACCTGGCCCCACCCACTTTATAAAAAGACTTGGTGGCTGCCATGCTGCCCCTGGGTGTACCTCGTTGGCAATGCTCCCTCTCAGCTGTGGAGTCCTGTGAGCAAAAATTCTAGTTCGCAAGCTGCTGGCATTAAAGTTGTGAGCAAGCGACTTGGCTATGGCATAAATTAGTTTGTTCTGGAGCTGTCCTTCCTGAACTAAGAAAAGTGTGTGAGCCGGAGGCTAAAAGACTGTGAGCTAGCTTGCACTAACTCAACTTAGAGGGAACACTGCTCGTTGGGGACCCCTGATCAAGGACCACTATTCCCATGTCCTCTCAGCCCCGTGAACGTTTGCTCCTGTCTTCAGCCCCCCCCCCCTGGAAGGCCTGTGTCCTCTTCCAAAGCCCCACCTTTTATATCCGACTTATCCATGTTAGCACATTCCACATATTCAAGAATATAATTTACCAGCTCAGTTTAGTAAAATTAATAGATTGAAATATGCCGGTGTGTTGAATAAATGCTGGTGTGTTGAATAAACTGAGGGGGGGAGGCTTTGCTGTGTGGCCCTTGTGTTTTGGGGGTCACTTTCACTATTCCCTCTAAGCTGAGTTAGTGTGAACTAGCTCACAGTTTTTTAGTCTCCGGCTCACACATCTTTGTCTTGGCTCAGGAAGGGTGGCTCCACAGCAAACTAATTTACTCAGTAGCCAAATCGCTCACTCGCAACCTTAATGCCGGTAGCTCACAAAGTAGAATTTTTGCTCGCAGGACTCCACAGCTTAGAGGGAGCATTGACTTAGGACTCCTCTTGAGTGTAGGCTGGTTGGCTTGTGAGCAATAGGTGGCTGCATGTGAGGAGGAAGCAAAAACTGCTCAGAAATGTGAGGAGCAGTGAGTGCCGTGGTCTTCTCTAGTAGGGAGCAGAGGGTAGACACATTGGTGGGTAACTCTGAGTGGAATACGGTAGCCAATTCTGAGAGTTTACACTGTGGGGGAGGGGGTTGACTGTCAGACCCTGTGGTGTTTCACTGAGTGTGCATTTCTGGGACGCAGTTAGTCTGTTGTGGGAAAGTTGACTTCCTTGGCCTTGGTTGGAGGAAATGTTAATATGAAGCGTTGGATCGCTTCTTTCATGGTTGTCTGAGGACAAGGTAGTTGTGTATAGCGCTGCCGCTGGAGGCAGGTGTTTAGCTTCTTTGCCCTTGCAGTGCCCCCAGCCAGTGGGGAGAGATCTGGTGGTGGGACAAGTCCCCATGCTTTGTTGGGGTCCATGGAGCATGTCAGGATACCAGCCAGTCCTCTCCAGCGGAAAATGGACAGAAACCAGCATTTTGTTAATGCAAACCCAGATTTGAATTATTCTCAGAGATACAAATCTCAGTTCTACAAACTAACCGTAGCTAAAATTAAACCGCAGATTCCCGTGACATCTAAACAGAGTCCAAATGTGGTGGTATTAGTGAAGGGTGAGGCGGCTGCTTCCTTTTTCAGCTTTGTGTTTTGACAGCTGCTACCCATGAGAAATGCAGTGGGCGGAACACAGCCCTGTGACCTGTGATAACCTTGGCCTTGGATCCTGAGCTGGGTTCTGTCAAGGACTCTGGTGTGTGTCTGTGTGTGTTGGGAGGAAGGGGGGGGGGGAGGCTGGCCTTGACTCGAAAGCTGATTATGTTAGATTACGTTTTGCTGCATGTAGACTGTTGCTTGCTAGAAAATAACGGTTTGCTGCTAGTAATAAGGTTTCAGAGGAAGCTTAGGAACAGAAAGAACTTTTGCCCCACTTTGTCAAAAGTTTTTTTGGGGGGAAGCATTCAGTCAATGCCTTGCCCTCTGCTCTTCTGGAAGGCAGGTATCTTTGCATTCCTTATCCCCAACAGGTTTGTCCTCATCAAACAGGAAAGGCTGAGACAGTTGACCACGTATTATTACACTGTCCCCACTATGATGGCATACATTCCCAATATATGACACCGATTTTAATAAATTCCCCCCGGAATTCTACACTTCCTGTCTTCCTTCAGACTCCTCTAAAGAAAGAGTCTTTTCACACTACCTTTCTAAACCTAATGGTTTCCATTATTGTCCCATCGTGGAATAAGCCAGTACAGGGATGGCTGTTTCACACAGCATTTCCCTTCCAGTAAGGAGCTGCCTCCGAAGCGGTGTGTCATTTTAAACTGCGCAGCTTTCTTTTCCCGCCATCCCCCCCCCCCGCATGCAAGATCTTCCTGAGAGGGTTTGTTTAAAAAAACATTCTATTGGGAGCGCTATGGCGCTGAAGCAGGACCACAAATCATCGCCATAGCAACCCCCTGAAGATGCATGGACTCCATTTAGATACATTGACATTTGCTACTGCTGTCACTTGGAAACAAGAAGCTCACTGGATACAGAGTTCAAGCACGGGGGAAGGGGGAACCAGACCGTTTTGAAACCCAGAAAGCTTTCCTTCCTTCCTTAACTCCCACAAACCATGGAGAGTGTGTGCTTGTGTGCGCGATCGCCTGAGTCTACACTTCCTCTAAAGCAAACTTTTATAAAATTGACCAAACATCTGTCTCACCATTCACTTACGCACCGATCTCCCACTTAAACACGCTGTCCAATCAGCTACCTGTTTCCAGGTGACAGAGGTAGCAAATGTCAGTGTATCTAAACAGAGTCTAGGCATCTCAATGGGTTTGCTATGGCACTGATTTGTGGTCCTGCTTCAGCGCTATAGTGCTCCCAATAGAACATTTTAAAAAAGAGGACAATCACACGCGAGGAGAAAAAGGGTGTGGGGAAAAAAAGTGATTTCAGGAAGCACTATGGGGCATTTTACACAG